CGCCCCCGTGACGTCAGCGGGGCACCCCCCCCCCGCTCTCCCCCAGGGGGTAGCCCCCCAGCCTGGGGGCAGCCCCCTGCACGGTCCTCGGCGGGTCCCCCATCCCGGTGTGGCCGTGGAGGGGGTCGCTCCCGCACAGAGGAGGGGGGAACCCGGGTTAAAGTGGGGCCGGGGGGGGGCACAGGTCATCCTCACCTTCACCCCCCCAGATCCTGGCCAGGCCCTTTGCCCACCATGTCAGTGCTTCCCACTTGGGGCAGGGGTACCCCCTTTCCCAAGGACACCCCCTACACATTGCAAGGGCAGGAAAGGGTTAAATACGTGTGTCCCCCTCCCCGTGGGGCTGGGTGGGCTGAGGGGCACTTCTATGGGGTGAGCCCTGGCATGTGGGTGCCACTGGCCTCCAGGGTCTGGCCGTCACCAGCACTGGCAGAAACAAGTTGTCCCCATGGCCCTGAGCATTTCATGGGACCCAGGACTCTGTGGGTCCCTGGGGGATGACTTGGGGGGCATGGGACCACCCGGCATCCCCCAGGGATGCACCCCAGGGCCGGGCAGGCTGAGCACCCACTCTCAGCTCACAGGTGTGGGAGCAGCGAGGGGCTGTTCCTAAGGATGGACATGGACAAAGGGCCAGCCGCCGGGATGGAAGGACAGACTGGGGACACTGGCGCTGTCTCTCTCGGGGCTGGGGACACTGGCGGGGCTGGGGGTGTCTCCGTGCGGCGTGGCAGTCACGAGCGCGCCGGGTCTCAGCGCCACGTGGCGCGGGCCCTGCCGCCGGGGCAGGGTGACACGCTGCCGGGGACGCCGCCAGGGAGGGCCCCCCGTCCCCACCCGCCCATTAGACCATCTTCAAAACAAGTTTCCATGTCGCCATCGTGCTGGGGCTGAGTCACTCGCAGCCTGGCCCGGGAGCACCGATATAAATAGCCCTGCTGTGCACCAGCCCCGAGACCCTCCAGGACCCGTTTCCTACCCCAAAACTCCAAAGAAAACGTGACCTGTTCTCCCATACACACCTCATCCCACATCTCTGCCCATCCCAACCTTAGACCTTTGCTCGCAGCTCCCAAAATGACCATTTCCAGCCCCGAAGGGCAGCCCATCAGTGCTGGTATCCCGTGCCAGCTCTTGGCTCCTCTCTATCCCCAYGCTGGACCAGGTGCCACGTCCCCAAGGCCACCTGGGGAGCCACATCCACCCACCAAGGAGACCTGGGCTCAAGGTCCTACGTGAGCCCCAGTGCAGCGCAAGGGGAGAAGCTGGTCCTGGTGCTCTGCTCTACCCAGCTGTGGGGACAAGCATGGAAAATCCTGACTCCTCCAGACAAACTGGGGCAAAAGAGCCAGAAAAAAAAAAAAAAAAAAAGGAATCTAGATGTTCGTCTGGCCTGAATCATCTGCAGTGAGCCTGGCTTGGCCACCACGGAGGCACGGCGAGTATCAAAGGAAGCCTCCGGTCTGCTCCTCACTTTCCCCGCGCGGTGACTCAGCTCGCCCTGGCTCCGGGACGGACGCGCGCGGGCTTGCCGGGTGAGCGCGGCCCGGCTCCGCGGGGACGGCAGGCAACGCGGCCCTGGCTGCCCTGGGGACGCAGCTCGGGGACCGTCTGGAGGAGGGTGCGACGGCTGCGGGTGACCACGTTGCCGCGGACAGAGCAGCAGCCTGTCCCCGTGGCCAAGCGGGGGTCACCTCACCTGGGAGCAGGTTGTTGGGGACCCCACAGAGGCTCTGTGGGGGCTGCCCCAGCCCACCATGCCAGGGGCCAGGAGACCCACAGGACCCYCGAGTAGGGACATGTCCACGTTCATCCCATGCTACAGGGCAACCCCGAGGGCAGCGGGGACAGGAGCCAAGCTCGGACCCCACCAGCCTCACTCAGACGGGCTCTCGGGTCGAGGCCTGAGTGTCCCCATCCCGCCACTGTCTCCCTTGGGCTGGCGCCGCCCTTCTCCGAGGGGACACCCCGTCCTGGAGGCCACATGAGGCTGCGGTCCTGCCGCCCGCGGGCTCCCTTGGCAGACAGGGCAGCGCGGGCGCCGGCTCCGCGCGCCAAAACCCACGTCCCGGCCAGCTCTCCCGGAGCCGCGGGGAAGGAGCCGGGGCCATCCCGGAGCGCGGGGCCTGGGGGCGAGACCCGACGCCGCGCGGAGCCGCCGTCCGCGCGGAGCTGCCAACACAAACCCCGCGCTAAATTAAAAAAATAAATCAAGGGCGCGCTCGGAGCCAGCTAACGCCCCGGGGCTGGAAGGTGCTGACACCCACCGGGACCCAGGCGGAGGCGGGCGGCTCGGCYGGCACGGCGCCCGCCGCGGTGCCCGGCCGGGACGCGGGGCTTTGCTTCCAGCRGGAAGCGGCGCCGGGGGCTCCCGGCATCTCCCCGGCTGGCACCGGCTCGGGAGGCGGATGAAAGCGGGGCGGATTAAAGGGGCGCAGGGAAGGGAGAAGGGGCAGGGGAGCGTGTGCCAGGTAGCAAACCCGGGAGATCGCCCGAGATAAAGGGAGAGCGCGGCAGCTGTAATTACGGCGCTGCAGATAGAGCGCGCGGCAAGGGGAGAGCCCCGAGCCAAGTACAGGATTTCTGAGTTAATGGAAGCCCAAGGAGAAGTTAATAACAAGACGAAGGCAGCCGGAGCAGACAGCCTGGCGTCTGCCCTCCCACACTCGGCCGCTGCCACATTAGCGAAGCCTCGCGCTATCTGCAGCCCCGCGCGGGGCCGGGGCCGGGGCCGGCGCGAACCCGCCGCCGCCCCGCGCTTTGCGGGGTTTGCTCCTTTCTGTTGGTTTTCAGAAGTCAAGCGCCTGGAAAAAGCTGCTCTGAGCGAAGGAAGGGAGGATAAGGAGCATTTTGGGAGCATCCGCCAGGATGGGGTTGGAAAACTCCAGTGCCTCCTGTCTGCTTTTGGYGGGGAGGCTTTGGAGAGTGCAAGGGGAGAGAAAGGTCTGCTTTGCTGTTTGCCCTTGGTCTCCGTGCAGAGCCATGAGATCTCCAGGTTGGATTTCAGGAAGCTTTTTGGGAAAAAAAAAAAAAAAAAAGACTACAAACAGAAAAGAAGTCACCCTCCCCTTGCCTTGAAAAGAAGTCATCCTCCCATAACACAAGCAAGCAAATATGTTGCTTGCTTTGGAACTGCGAGTGTTTTCCGGGACCAAGATCCAGTCTGAGTTGCATTTCCACATGGAGAACCAGCAGAAAACAAGAGGAATAAAAGGGCCGGGGATGATGGAGCTGGGGGGAAAAAAAACATCTCTCCCAACAGCACCACTTCCACCCTTGGCCCCTGCCAAAATAGGGAATTAGGGAGCAGCCATGGGAACCCCTTGCCTGGGCCCAGCACGGCCCATCTGGAAACCTTTGGGGAAGGTGGGAACCGTCAAGGCCCAAAGGTGACACGTTTAATTAATTACGCCATTCGTTAGCCCCGGCCTCAGCACCTTGGCCTGCTAATTTGACAAGAGCAGCAGTTAAAGGGGCTTTTTCCCCCTCATTTAGGTCCCGTCACCCTTAGCGCGGACAGCTGCGGGTGGCGCTTGGTGGGTGTTAAATGCACGCAGGTGTCCAAGTTGCTCCAGCCCCTTCTCTGGTTTTCTCCCCATCTTGTACGAAAAAATAGCATGAAAAAAATGCTACAATCCCCATTCTGAGTGCAACAGCCAAAAAGCACAACTTGGAAGCATTTCACTACTTGCATTGGGTTGAAATTTTGTGTTATTTAAATAGTGAGAAATATCAATGTGTTTTTTTTTCCTTCCTTTTATTTTGTTATAGATAACTGCTTAGACCAGTTTCCCCCCAGGGTGAGGCTTACACCCTGCACAATTAAGAGCTGGCCCCTGTTTTTGCAGTATTTCCAGGGGAATCTACCTTGCTGAAATGCTCTTTTCCTTTCCTATCRCCAGCCGAGATGCTGCTATGTAGTGAGATGCATTAAGGGTTTGTAATTTTAACAACATAACGAGGCGGTTATTAATGGCTAGATGCAGCGCTTAAACTGGGAGATAATCAAGTGTTGGCCTCTCAGCAGAGAATTTGATACAATAAAGCCCGATTAATTTATTTTAAAATAATTTCTTACAGGCACATGGCTCTAAAGCGTAAATTTTGGTACTGAAATGGGCAGCGGGTATGGGAARAACTGAGAGGGGAGTCGCTGAGGTCAGGAATAAGAGTCTTCTGGGGCAAAGAGCCTCCTGGGGATATTTTTTTTCCCATTTTGATTTATTTCCCTTTGAAATCATGTTCCTTTTTTATCAAGTCAATGTTTAAAAAATGAAAATTTCAGTCAATGGAACAAAATCCATCAGTTTTCTCAAAGCAGAAGGATTTGTYGGGTTGGGAGGGCTGGAGGTGGCCTCATCTCACCGAGTATTTTCCTTCCGGGAAATCTGTGGGCAAGAGGAATCTCGGCAGAGGGGGCAGAGCCCCCCATGCTGGGAGGYGCTTCCATTACCTGAGGTCCCCTGGCAAAGCCCTGCAAGGACATGAGCAGAAAAAGGAGGAAAATAAAGTAAAATAACCACGCAATTTTACTGACGGAGAAGGCACTTTCCAACAAAGCTGGAGAGGAGAATATATTTTCTGTTGACATTTCCCATCTTTGGAAAGGACCCAAGACTTTCACCAAACCCTCACACACACATGGCGCTCCCAGAAAGTCCCCAAGTGCTTTAATGTTCCTAGAAGTCCTTTTATGTCTGGTGGTTGAGAGCCTGAGAAAGATTATTTTATTTTATTTTATTTTATAATTTTTATTTTATTTTATAATTTTTATTTTATTTTTTATTTTATTTTATAATTTTTATTTTATTTTATAATTTTTATTTTA